ACACTTTTATAGTAAGAAAACTGTAATTCGCAGTACAATTGAACATTTTAACAAAAAATTGTTAAAAATTGGTATTTGATAAAAAAAATATTTTCGCAAAACGAAAAATGTATTTGATTCATGACTAATTCGCTTTATAATTTGATATTTTAACAAAGAATTGTTAAATATCGATTTTTTGTATAAAAAAATACTTTTATAGCAAGAAAACTGTAATTCGCAGTATAATTCAACATTATAACAAAGAATTGTTAAAAATTGGTATTTGATAAAAAAATATTTTCACAAAACGAAAAACGTATTTGATTCTCGACTAATTCGCATTATAATTCGATTTTTTAATGAAGAATTATTAAATTGTGAATTTTGATAAAAGATAAATACTTTTATAGCAAGAAATCTGTAATTCGCAGTACAATTCAACATTTTAATAAAGAATTGTTAAAAATTGGTATTTGATAAAAAATATTTTCACAAAACGAAAAATGTATTTGATTCATGACTAATTCGCTTTATAATTCGATATTTCAACGAAGAATTGTTAAATTGTGAATTTTGGTAAAAGAAAAACACTTTTATAGCAAGAAATCTGTAATTCGCCGTACAATTCAACATCTTAACAAAGAATTGTTAAAAATTGGTATTTGATAAAAAATATTTTCACAAAACGAAAAATGTATTTGATTCATGACTAATTCGCTTTATAATTCAATATTTCAATGAAGAATTGTTAAATTGTGAATTTTGATCAAAGATAAACTCTTTTATAGCAAGAAATCTGTAATTCTCAGTGCAATTCTACATTTTAATAAATAATTGTTAAATAGTTTCACAAAACGAAAAATGTATTTAATTTAAGAGTAATTCGCTTTATAATTTGATACAAAGAATTGTTAAATATTGATTTTTTATATAAAAAAATTACTTTTATAACAAGAAAACTGTAATTCGCAGTACAATTCTACATTTTAACAAATAATTGTTAAATAGTTTTACAAAACGAAAAATGTATTTGATTCATGACTATTTCGTTTCATAATTTGATATTTCTACAAAGAATTGTGAAATATTGATTTTTTGTATAAAAAAAATTACTTTTATAACAAGAAAACTGTAATTCGCAGTACAATTCTACAATTTAACATATAATTGTTATATAATAATTTTAAGAAAGAATTATTAAAAATGGGTATTTGATAAAAAAATAGTATCACAAAACGAAAAATGTATTTGATTCACGATTAATTCGCTTTATAATTCGATGTTTCAATGAAGAATTGTTAAATCGTGAATTTTGGTAAAAGAAAAACACTTTTATAGCAAGAAATCTGTAATTCGCCGTATAATTCAACATTTTAATAAAAAATTGTTAAAAATTGGTATTTGATAAAAAATATCTTCACAAAACGAAAAATTTATTTGATTCATAACTAATTCACTTTATAATTTGATATTTTAACGAAAAACAGTTAAATATTAAATTTTAGTAAAAAAGAAACATTTCTTGTTAATTATTTCATCATATCTAATTCATGTTAAAATTTGAAAGAATTCGGTTCAAATCTTTTTCCTCCTCGATTCGCGTGTGTCTTCGAACTTCAATTCAGGTTGTCGGTACCCTCGTTATGTCTACGATTAAATAAACAAAACCGGCTAAAAAACCTATACTCACTCGTACACATCGGTAGTGGCAGCAGCAGCAGAAGGAGGAGGACGTTAAATAAAAAAAAATATATTAATAAGCGGCCTTCAACCCTCGTTTCGCTGGATGGTAACTCGTTCAATTATTTATTTTCAGAGCTCGCTGATGAATTATTATTATTGTACCACTCGGGACCGAAAACGTAATACAATTACGAGAGGAAAATCGATTTTTGTTAGCTTTCTACATGAATATTCAACAAACAAAAGATAAACAAATGTTATTGTTTTTAATCGCGTTGGTATTTCTAGTTTGGTATTTCTGTTGCACTAAATATTCGAAACGTTTTAACGAATATTTAATAAGTAGGAAAGTTACGTGAAAACTAATGCATTTTTTACTATAAAAACTGCATTGAAATATCATTTAAAAGAAACTAGATTAACTTTATGAAAGGAAATTCGTTTCAATTACAATTTCATTAATTCTAAACGAACGAAAATGAATTCAATATTGCATAGAAAATTTGAAATTTAAATTTACTATGTTGTTACACATTTTGAGCTTGAGTAAACAATAACAATTAAAACTTATAAGTGAAGAAATATATAATTTTAAAAAAAAATGAAAAATTATGTCTCATTGTTTCAGTCAGAAACTACTAAATCATAATTTCGAAATACTTAAAAGATTTGCTACAGGATAAATGAATGAGCAATTTATATAAATATAATATATCCGTTCACTTAACTAGGCCATACGTTCGAACATATATAAAGTAAAAAAATATATATAAAAGCTTTATTGCGCAATAAACTCTGTATGCGTTGTATTTATGCCATCAATTAACTGAGTATATTTATAGATAATTGTGATTAAAGTGCGTTAGCAATGTAAATATTATCATTATTGTTGCCGCTTTAATAATATTTATAGTTTCAACAAAAAGAAATATAAAGCGCAATAATGTGTGACTGTGAAAATCGGAAATTAGTAGTAATTTTTTCGAGTAATTCGAGTAAAAAAAGAAATTATTTAATGGTACCATGATGTAAATATTAAAATTATTGTCGTTGTTACAAAAGAGATACATTCATAATATTTATGGTTTTACAAAGCGAATTTGGGCAAGAAAAAGTGTACTAATAAATCGGAAATTGCGTCAGTGTATAACAATTAGTAGTTATGAAATAATAGATTTGTTGTAAGTATAAAAAAATAGGAGTAATTTGATGTTACTTAAGATATAAATATTGTTATAAAAGAGATACATTAATAATATTTATAGATTTATGAAGCAAATATTGAAGTTACTGAAACAGAAGTTACAAAAGTATTTGATCTTTTTGAAGATGTAAGCAAAAAGTGAAATTTTTTGTACTAAATATTATTGTTACGGATGAGACAGTTTTAATAATATTTACAATTTTACAAAGCGAATTTAGGCAAGAAAAAGTGTACTAATAAATCGGAAATTGCATCATTGTATAACAATTAGTAGTTAGGAAATAATAGATTTGTTGTAAGTATAAAAAAAATAGGAGTAATTTAATGTTATTGGAAATATAAATTTTGTTATAAAAGAGATACATTAATAATATTTGTAGATTTATGAAGCAAATATTGAAGTTATTGAAACAGAAGTTACAAAAATATTTGATCTTTTCGAAGATGTAAGCAAAAAAGTGAATCTTGGTACTAAATATTATTGTTATAGATGAGACAGTTCTATTAATATTTACAGTTTTACAAAGCGAATTTAGGCAAGAAAAAGTGTACTAATAAATCGGAAATTGCGTCAATGTATTCAAATTAGTAGTTAGGAAATAATAGATTTGTTGTAAGTATAAAAAAATAGAAGAAATTTGATGTTACTTAAGATATAAATATTGTTATAAAAGAGATACATTAATAATATTTATAGATTTTTGAAGTAAATATTGAAATTACTAAAACAGAAGTTACAAAAGTATTTGATCTTTTCGAAGATGTAAGCAAAAAAGTGAATCTTGGTACTAAATATTATTGTTATAGATGAGACAGTTCTATTAATATTTACAGTTTTACAAAGCGAATTTAGGCAAGAAAAAGTGTACTAATAAATCGGAAATTGCATCATTGTATAACAATTAGTAGTTAGGAAATAATAGATTTGTTGAAAGTATAAAAAAAAATAGGAGTAATTTAATGTTATTGGAAATATAAATTTTGTTATAAAAGTGATAAATTAATAATATTTGTAGATTTATGAAGCAAATATTGAAGTTACTGAAACAGAAGTTACAAAAGTATTTGATCTTTTCGAAGATGCAAGCAAAAAGTGAAACTTTTGGTACTAAATATTATTGTTACAGATGAGACAGTTTTAATAATATTTATAGTTTTACAAAGTGTTAATATGAATACGATTCTAGAAATGTGAAATTGTAAAAAAAATATGAAGAATTTTATGTCAGTGTAAACTGTAGTTTTATGATGTGGATATAGAGGCTATACTCTAAATACCATATAAACTATAAAATGATTTATAGACTGTTAATTATGTAAACGTTAGTGTTTATTTGCGTTAAGTGTAATTAAATGTTTACACGTTTATTATTCCAGTTATAAAATAATTAATATTATGTCTTTTTACAATTAAATTTATTAATTAAGCAACCTATTACCCGCACTATGCGAGGTACTTAAAATTTAATAAATGCTGAAATGAGGAAATTTCATAGACAATTTTAAACATTTTCATTACAATTTCATTAATCCTAAAAGAAAATTAAATTAACTTTATTAATTGATAAATCATAAAAAAAAATCAAAAATGCTGTTATAAAACGATTCATATTGTGACTTTTTACAAATAGATTTATTAATTTTGAATAAAACAACACCTCGCATAGTGTGGCTTCGATTAGTCCGGATTTACTACAGACAGGTTTGAAATGTTCAAAACAATCTTAATTTTAATTTCAACAATTTAAAGATTTTTTTGTGCGATTTATTTTTGTATGTGATTGATCGGGTTTCAAACAGTCCGGGATATTGGCTGAACATATTATCCGCACTATGCGAAGTACTTAAAATTTAATAAATGCTGAAATGAGGAAACTTCATAGAAAATTTTATTAATTGATAAATCATAAAAAAATATTAAAATTGCTGTTATAAAACGATTAATATTATGACTTTTTATAAATAGATTTATTAATTAAGGATACAGCAACACCTCGCATAGTGCGGCTTCAATTAGTCCGGATTTACTATAGTTCCATATTCTCAAAACAATTTAAAGATAAAGAGTACACAAAATTATTATTTACAGACGTGTTTCTTTTTGTGCGGATTATTTTTGTATGTAATTGATCTGGTTTGAAACAGTCCGGGAAATTGGTTGAACAATTGCGTTTATTTTAATTATAAATTGAACTTTCGAGTAAAGATGATTGTTTCATTCGAAAGCTTAATGGAAATAATGTTGATGATGGACTTGCATTGTGCGTACGTACCACAACAAACGGTTCAATTAACCGAAGTCTTTAAGGGCCATTGTTAGCATCCAAGGCCACAATTTCCAATTTTCTTCACTTCACGTCGAGCGGAGGTTGTGGCCGGTGCCCAATCGTCCGTAGCCGTGTGGAGAAGACGTGAAGAGGAGAGGAGAAGACGGTAACAAGGATGGACGTTATGCAAATGGGGATGGTCCGAGAAGGAAGGCAGGTAATTGTTTGTTTACAGTGCGGCTTTTGTATGGCTCGGAATGTCGGCCCTCTCTCGTGCGCCCAACAGATCCGTAGAGATTAGAAGAAAAGGAAGAGAGAGATGAGGAGAATCTCGTTAGCATGACTTACGGCCCCAGTGGCGGCTCCCATAGCCGCTTTTTTCACTCTACACTTACACTCTTCTTCAAGCATCAGAAGAAAAAAAAGTGTTTAGTATAAATATAATAGAAGCTAAAAATAACCGCAAATTGCATAATCGGGCAATTAAGACGTGTACGAACATAACTGGAGAGGAAAATAAATGAATAAGAAAGAACAACAATATAACAAGAGAAGCGGAGGTCGCTCATTATTAGCAAGGAATTAACAGCTCAAGGATGTGGCCTTGACGGAATGCAACCGGAAAACCTTAAAATTTCTCATTTCATTTGAATCTTTCGAAATTTGCGTTATCGAGTTTCCTGCAATTTCTGTTTTGTTACGTTCCACTGATTACGTCTGTATCATTCAACATTGCAAATGCTGATGACCAGCAAATAACAGTAATCAGTCAGCAAGAAATAATACACAATTTAATCATGTAAAATTAGAATTTTAGATTTACTTGTATTCATATAAATTGTAAACGAAAGAAAAACTTATTTCTTTTTAATTGAAATGATCATAATAACAATTTGCTTTCTGTTAAGTTCAGGATTGTTGAAAGAAATTGTGTTTATTAAAAGTTACACTAAGTTTTAACACGATTAAATCTTTTGTGTAAAGATATAAAGTACAAAGCAATAAAAAATAACAAGCATGTTAGAGTAACGCTAAGAAAGGTATGATTTAGATTAGAAATTGTACATGTTGTTGGACAAGGACGAAATAGGATTTCTATCTTCTGGTTTATTAAAGTATTGTCCTTTTGGTCCTAAATATTTGTTAATAATGTTCAACAAATGTGACTTTTTGGTCTTTATAAATGAATTTGTATTGGTTTTTAATACGTAATTCAAACTTTCTCCAAACTACAATTCAATCTTTCTTCAAAAGTTTACTGAGAATGAGTGAGCTTTACAAATGTTTAGTGGTTGCGATTCATGGAAGGTTCTCGTCGTGAAAATCGTATTCATTACTTTTTTCGTTTTTCCTCTCCTCTTTTGGAGGGATGACTATGAAGAACGATAGAAGGAAGGGCCGTAAAATCGTGTACGAAGTACCTGCAGTTTATTTGGTTAACAGTAAATTCGGGGAAGTCTTCGGGTGCGCCACTGTGTTTGAGACCAGATGGACCAAAGGAGCGTGCAGCAGTGGGATAGAAAAGGAAACACCCTCGGGTTTTGTTCTGTGTATGTGTGAGAGCCTTTGGTACCCGACGAAATCCCAGTTACCACAGTCGACAACCTACGATAACAACGTACAAGTGGTCTCTCCGCATCTCCGAAGAGACCCAAAAAAAAAAGGAAAAGAAAACTTTCCACGTTCGTCGTTCATTTTTTCCCGTCTCGCGTCTCCGCACAGTGATTACGTTCAGTTTTAATTTATTTATTTCGTTCGCATTCTTGTCGACGTTCGAATGCCGCGATCTTAATTATAGATTAGTGATGAAAGTGATTCACGTCCGTGGAGAAGTAATTGTTTAAATGTCGCTGCTAGCATCAATCGTAAGTTCGCATCAACATTGGATTTTCTTTTCAACCCTTCAAAGTTACGAATCGTTTTAGTCCAACAAAAATCTTTCAATTTAGAATTGATTATTATTAGATTGTCTAACAATTGATTTTTTTTTCTATTATATAAAGAAACTGTGTATTAGTATTAGTTTATACTAATTCTAAATAAATTTACATGATTTACATTTGAAATTTTAATATTTCACTATAATCAATCCAAAATTTACAAGATTTACAACGTTATTCGAATAATGCAATAAAACTTCTTCTAAACATTTGAAACCTACGTTGATTCATTGTTTTTGGTATGAATTAAGCACCTACTACTATTTTATTTAGTAAACATCTGCGAATCTAATGATTCATTCATTTTTTAGATAGTCTACATACAAAATTGTGTAATTGCAAAAAAAAAAAACAGAAAGTTTTCTTTTGTATTAGTCATGGATAATAACATTTAAAAATAAATATGTTCATTTTACCTAAAATATCTACATTTATTATTAAATGACCATCGACCAAGAGGTTCTTCACCTGTGAAAGTCTGTAGTATTTAAGATTGATTTTCTTTAATTTGTTTATGAAAATATTGCGTTTATGTAATTATAATGTTGTTAAAAGCAGCAGGCGGTCGTTAACTGGTTGATTTTTTAGGTCAAATCTGTGGAGAAGATTCCAGTTTTCTATTAATTAATGAATTACAAAAAAAAGAGAGCACGCATTGAATTTGTATTGATGAATGTAACGACGTCTTTGATTGCGTCCGCTCGCAAACATAAATAAGTTTGTTTGTGAACAGTTGTTTGTGCATTTAGTGTGGGTGGGATACGAAATGATTAATGCATTAAGAAAGTCCGAACGGTATTCGAGACGGTGGGCGGAAAATGCCGCCACGCATTGTAGAGAAGGTCTCTAACCGGAACTACTCCGAAAATGCCATTTCCGGGATGCAAATATCTCTATTGTCGTCAGTTGCGTAACTGTGTGTATGTTTTCTATTATGGTTTTTATTGGTTTAAAGTGTGAATAGAACCGTTATAATATTTGTGAAACGCGTTTTCATGTGGTAATTGGTTAATAATCTGTGAAAACGATGAGCAAACTTGGCCTCCTCTCTCTGCGAGAGCGAATCGCTTGGTGCTACTAGTTTAAGCTGCTGCAATGCTCAAGAAAAGTGCATTATAATAAGAATCTAACTGCGATGACCCAATTTAAGTAATTCTTTTCTTCTCTTTTGCAGAGCTCCTAGACATGTTGAGTTACCCTCATGTCTCGCCAATTTGCACCGGCGCAACGCCCGCGCGTTCCGTCAACCTCAGATAATCCTTACTTGGTAAATAGAAACTGTTTTCATTTATTAATTTGAACATCTTTCTTGATGTCACTTCCTCTTCCGCAATACTTAATTGTTTCATTTACGTGTAGGGTACGACGAGCAGCTTACCACTGGGTCACTCCTACGTGAAGCCGAAAGAGGTGAACTACCATTTGAAATGCACCGGGTCGATTCGCGGAGCACCTTGTCCTCTGGAGCAGGACGCCTGCTTCACGGATGAAGCGTTCACGGAGCACAGTTACTACGATTTCTACGATGATCACGGTTACCAGACGAGCCCGAACAGGGCCAAGGAGGATTCTAGTTATTCCGACGACGATTCGGGATCCACGAAATTGCCCTGCTACGATTACGATAACTACTCGAGCAGTAGGAGACACTCGAGGAACAATTACTCGGAGCGGAGTATCGGAAGGCCGATTCCGCAGATCGTTAAGAAGGATTCCAGGAGAGTCTACCCCAACGACAATGAGCACATACAAAGGTGATTCGGTTCATTCGATTGAGTAAAAAGTATACTCAATTTAAGTTCTGTAATTTTAGGTGCGTTGAAGCCGTGCCTCAGATCATCCCAGCCAGGGGTCAGATCTCCAGGACTTCGGATAGACCTTCGAGCTCACACAGCTCCGGAGTTCCGAGCGCCATGGTTCATGGATGCGGAGGCAAATGCCAGACCTTTGAAAGTGTCTGTTATTACTTCCTTCAGGTAAACATCATAAAAAACATATTCATTAAGACTTTACATATACCATTTTGACAAACTCCATAACAACCATAGCTTGTGTTGTCATGGACACTAAACACATTACTTGACTTAAGTATTAAACATAATCGAATTAACGTCAAATCGAATTGCTACGATTCTTTCACAAAACATAAAAATAAGTTAATTAATATTTTTTACAATTATTGATGAATAATACGAGTTGTATATATAAATCAGATAAGTTATAGAAAGTTACTAAAGTAACAAAGTCAAAACTCTATTTGTAACATACGTAATACATGCACACAAAAAAATATGTCTAAAAATAAATGTTAAGGTCATATGTGAGTGAAGAAGATTTGGTGCACTTTCATTCATTCCACTAAACATCAAGGACGAACTTAGATATATATTTTTTTTTCTAAATCAACTACTTTTGTGTTATAAACATATAACAGCAACAACATAAATGTTATCTTTCAAAAATGATCTATGTATAAAGCAATTGTCCTAATCTAATTCTCAAGAAAGTAATGTTACATAAAACTTTGGCGGTGATGACTCACTCGCCACTTACCAAGCAAACCCATTCATTTATTTATGCTTTAACAAGCACAATATTTTTTATTTAAACAATTTTAGAACATCTTGCATTAAAGATGATGAACATTGCGTTACCACAAAAAGTGTAATATTTACATTTTCACGATTATTGTGTAAACATTTGTGCAATTGCTGATTACAAATTCAAATATTCATTTTAGCACGTTCGCCGCACTTACGTCTATATATAAATATTGTTGCAAGTCGACGCAGTTTGAAAACAAGTTTGTTATAGTTAATTGAATTTTATGGAGGAATTCCCGTTTTGATCATTACATGATTTTACTTCTGCAACTTTCAAATCACATTCATTTTTATACTTAATGAGAGAATATACAAGTTATCACTTAAATTTTATCGTTCCCTTTTTGCTAATTCTATTATTCAACTGCAACTTATAACTCGCATTCATTTTTCGTTTATCAAAAGAATTCGAAAGAAATACCCGTAATAACATTATGATTATATAAGATTTTAGTTAATACTTACTTCAGTTATAGTTAATTTATCCGTTTTTTACAAAACAGTTTTATCGAGAATTCCCATTTTGGTAATTCCATGATTCAACTTCTTAGACTTTCAATTCATATTCAATTATGTTGGATGAATATGTGTGAAATTTAACCATTTTACATATCATGGTTGGGAAAAAGTGAGATTAACTGTGGTTGTTTTTGGTAATTTGCAGGTAGCATTCGCTATGGGTATTTTAATTGGAATATCCTTGGGAGTAGCAGGATGGGTGTTGCGTAAATCTGCGGCGAGAAATCTGCAAGTCCTGCTGTACATTGGTGCGATGCTCTCCATCGTCTGCGCTCTTCTGTTGAGCATCCAGTGCAGCGCTCGGAATTCCGCAAGATTACGACAGAAATCGCTGAGGAACGCGAAACGCGCCCCCATCCCCATGGAGTTCATACCAATCAGGGCGCCGGTCCCGGTGCACCATCAGCAACCCCTAGTAGACAATAGCACACTGCAAAGGTATAAAACCAATAACACCTAAAACTTTTATAAAAAGATTTGTAATCGTTCACATCTTTTGCAGAGGAATTCCGGTGACTTTGGTCCAGATGCCCACGAGGCCGTTGCCCGAATTGCATTTACAAAGATCGACCATTGAGAGGCATCAGCATGTTGTTGATCAGCAAGGAGTGCCGTGGTGGAGACGCAAGGACCTCCACTGACGTTATTTATTGATTATTATTAAACCTGTAATAAAACTGTACATAGGGTATAAACGTATACATATATAAGGACGAAGACTGATTATGGAAAATGAAGAGTAATAATGGGAAGCAGAAGCGTATGAACGGAACCGGCTTCCGGAACGTCCACATTTGGAGACGATCACTTTCGTCCGTTCTCTAGTCTAGTGTACATTGCGGATTAATTCATTCTGTAAATACTCAATCAATCAATTGACTGTAATTGCAGCATTGCAATTGTTGAGAGGAAATTAAACAAAACGAAAAATGTATTTTTTTTAACAAATAAAAACGCACGTGAAGAAAGTATAATTAGTGTTGTTTCTATTATTTAAATTTCGGTCACGATCCTGCTGTTATGCAAGCGTGTGTATAATAAATATGAACGGAGCGAGCGGAGAATGTTAAGTCGATTGGAGCGGAACTGTTGTTATCAATGGGATGCAAAAATTAGCACGTTTCTTTTTAAAAATTTCAATTTATTCAAAAATCGTGCTCGAAATGATGCACATTAACGTGATTTTAAACGCTCGTTAATATTTAACCAATAAAGATATCAACATTAATGTTGATGCTATAAAGATACTTTTTTTTATAGAGGAGACCTTACATAGGGATCACGGGTGGAGTCGTGGTACTGTGGGATTCTTACCGCACTAAAAACTCTCCTCTTCTTCGTCAGCATACAGGACATGTAACATATTACTACTCTGCGATGCTGATTGTCAGGCCATCTGCCAGCCTCCGCTCGTCTTCTTCTTTACTCAGTAGTACCTCTATTATGTATGCTATAAGAGCGTCATTCTACTTGCGTGTTAACATCTAGTTGACAACTATTTCAATTTTATAACTTTAATAGTGCTAAACATCATTTAATTTCTGAAACAATTTCTTAAAATCCTGCTTTGGAAGTTGATACAGAAGATATGCAACCATTGAACTAATTCAAGAAGCTCAGATTGTTAATACTTAAGTGAAAGTTAACCGAAAAAATAACTAATTTCAATGTTAACTATTAGTAAAATTATACATAAAGGACTTTAAATAAGGACTATAGGTAATTAGATTTAAAATATTTATTTCCTATGGAGTCATACATTAATCAAAAATAATATATATCATATATATAAAAAGAAACAAACATAAAATAACATTATACTTCAGCATTTATGTTTTGAAGAACGCTCGTGTAACCTATTTAAGTACATAATTTATAATAATAATAACATAATAATACAAGTTAATATATATATATAATCTCAATGCGTAGGGAATGTGGTGTGGAGAATCGCGAGATTCACGAATGATCAGTCAACAAAAAAAATTAATTAAATCAGTTTTTTTTTCGTTTGAAATAAACGCGTCAAATTTGATTACAAGCTTCTCTTGTTAGTAATTACGTCCCTAAAAAAATATATTCATATATGTTTATAGATATATCTTTAGCTTCCCTGATATAATACTATATAAATTATCAAATAAATGTCTTTTTTTATCCCCCAAATATATCATATCAATATTTATGTATAATAATCATTTCATAGATTCAATGAACAAGTTTCATAAATCACAACATTAATTCTCGTAGAACTGTAATTAAATTACTAGAAATCTGGTTTCAACGAACCGTAACAACATCTCTCTACTAATACTTATCCTCTTTTTTTTTTCTTCAACTTCTTCTTCATCATTTAAAGCCATACATTTAAAACCTATAGATTATTTTAAAGAATCGCGGAATTGCGATTTGTCATTATCGGGAATGTAGTAAGTGGTGTTTCTTATCCTAAGCGACGGTTTTGTTGTTTTTTTTTTGTTATTGTTGTTATGATAACCCAACGTTGTTTATAACAAGCGCTTGAAATAGAAGACGCGTTGTTTGGCAAGTCATCACTCCAATTAAGTCTCTTCGTGGACGTGAGGATTCAGTGGACGAAGAACTATGCGAGGATCGGTCTCAACCATGCGGTCAGTATCCTCTATCCTGTAGGATTTATATGATTTTTAATTGGTTTTCTTATTAGATTTGATTGCGCTTATTTACGTGACATCCTTGTTTTCTTGGGGCATCAACTTGCTCTGCTCTGAGTCCTCGCTTCGCGGTTGATAGGCCACCTCGGAGATGGGGCCGTACTGCGCGGAGACAAGCAGATCCGTCGATGGATTCACCGTCAGGGCTTGGGCCCCGCTCGTGTCCATGTGGTCCTTGTTAGTCCTGAAGCACAACTTACGCGTGACACGTAAGTACAACACTTCAAAAACATAGTTTGTATTAATTTACTATATACGCATTTTACTGTAATAACTCACCGAATAACACGAATGCGAATATAATACCAAATACCCCAGTGCATATGAAGATTGTATAGAAAGAGTCATCTGCTTCCTCTTTCGAGTATCCTATTGCACCATGGATCAGCAGTGTGACCCTGTGTGATTTCAATTGAGATTTTAATTAATTCAATTATTCAAAAGTGAAATTTGTTTTTTTTTCATTACCCAATTGCGAAACAGGCTATGCCAGATGTCAAGTGGACCATGGGCATGACCCGTGTCAGCATGCAAGGCCTCCTCGCTGCATGTGACAGGTAACTGATGGGTCTCTCTGCCCAACGATCTGAAGCCCCATTGCTTGCCTCGTATGTCACAGTGGTGGGCTGATAGACAGGCCCGCTTGCTGGCATCTTGATGGAATAATAATACTGCCTGCAACAATCGGAAGCATATTAGAAAAGGTCACACCTGACAGAAAAACAAAAGGCTTTTAGCTGAACGCAGCTAATGAGCAGTAAAAGTTTTATTGTCTTTGCAAAGTAAGGTTAGAATTGACGCTTCCAAGGCCAGCTTGTTTCACCACCGCTCGATCACGCTTAATAATTTCGGCCACATGCGATGAAAACTCCCCGTTTGCTCTAATTCCAATTTGAGAATGGATACAAACCCGTTGTCCTTTCCTTTGTCCGCTTATTTTACTAATTCGATGCTAATGAGAAATCCAAAGAAAACTCTCGCACACTGTTACTTCTCTTCTTTTTTTTTCTCTCTTACTTGTTTGTTGTTATTGATTTGTTTTCTTGTGGGAATGCGACTGGCACTTTCTTTCACTTGCTTCGCACTGGCTCGTTTGATTCCAATATTGAATTCGTACCTGGAGATGGTCTTTCCGTTCGATGCATCTACCAGTTGCTATCGTGTGCTGCCTCGACCAGCGACGACCTTCTTCCGTTTCTTGACTGATTCGTCCGCGCCAACACGCAGCAGACCTTCCACAAAAGGTAGTCCGCTTCCTGACTGGTCATTCCGACATGGGCGTAGCGCGTGGGCGCACGATAGGGCACTTTTTCAAACATTTGTATGCATCTAATCGTCTTTGCAACTTGGAAAATGTTACAATTTTATACTTGAGTGTTTCTATCATTTGTAAACATAATTTGAGTACTATTCTAAATCTTCAATAAAGTAACTTTAAAACTTAGTTTTTACTTTAGAAAACTTTGGTAGAATTGAAGATTTATCACTTTCATATTCCATGTACTTAGTGAAATGTTTCTGTAATGCAGATTTTCTTACTATGGTTCTTACTACTTCTAGAATATCTCATAATACAAGAGTTATTATCTTCTGAACAATTTACTATTATAATTGCTCTATATATTAGAGACTGTTCTTTGATCTTAGCTTAATAAGAATAAATATGATAGATTTGTATGCATCTAATCGTCTCTGCAACTTGGAAAATGTTTCAATTTTATACTTGATTATTTCAATCATTTGTAAACATAATTTGAGTATTATTCTAAATCTTCAATAAAGAAACTTTAATACTCCGTTTTTACTTTAGAAAACTTTGGTAGAATTGAAGATTTATCACTTTCATATTTCATGTACCTATTGAATGTTTCTGTAATGCAGATTATCTTCCTATAGTTCCTATTTCTCGAATATCTCTTAATCCAAGAGTTATTATCTTCTGAACAATTTACTATTATAATTGCTCTATGTATTTGAGACTGTTCTTTGATCTTAGCTTAATAAGAATAACTATGATACATTTGTATGCATTTAATCGTCTCTACACTTTGAAAAATGTTTCAATTTTATACTTGATTGTTTCAATCATTTTTAAACATAATTTGAGTACTATTCTAAATCTTCAATAAAGAAACTTTAAAACTTAGTTTCTACTTTAGAAAACTTTTGTAGAATCGGAGATTTATCACTTTCATATTCCATGTTATTATTGAAATGTTTCGGTAATGCAGATTATCTTACTATAGTTCCTATTTCTCGAATATCTCTTAATCCAAGAGTTATTATCTTCTGAATAATTTACTATTATAATTGCTCTATGTATTTGAGACTGTTCTTTAATCTTAGCTTAATAAGAATAAATATGATAGATTTGTATGCACCTAATCGTCTCTACACTTTGAAAAATGTTTCAATTTTATACTTGATTCTTTCAATCATTTGTAAACATAATTTGAGTATTATTCTAAATCTTGAATAAAGAAACTTTAAAACTTAGTTTTTACTTTAGAAAACTTTGATAGAATTGAAGATTTATCACTTTCATATTCCATGTACTTATTGAAATATTTCTGTAATGCAGATTATCTTACTTCTTGAATATCTCATAATACAAGAGTTATTATCTTCTGAACAATTTACTATTATAATTGCTCTATATATTAGAGACTGTTCTTTGATCTTAGCTTAATAAGAATAAATATGATAGATTTGTATGCATCTAATCGTCTCTACACTTTGAAAAATGTTTCAATTTTATACTTGATCATTTATAAACATAATTTGAGTACTATTCTAAATCTTCAATAAAGAAACTTTAAAACTTAGTTTTTACTTTAGAAAACTTTAATAGAATTGAAGATTTATTACTTTCATATTCCATGTACTTATTGAAATATTTCTGTAATGCAGATTATCTTACTTCTTGAATATCTCATAATACAAGAGTTATTATCTTCTGAACAATTTACTATTATAATTGCTCTATATATTAGAGACTGTTCTTTGATCTTAGCTTAATAAGAATAAATATGATAGATTTGTATGCAGCTAATCGTCTCTGCAACTTGGAAAATGTTTCAATTTTATACTTGATTGTTTCAATCATTTGTAAACATAATTTGAGTATTATTCTAAATCTTGAATAAAGTAACTTTAAAACTTAGTTTTTACTTTAGAAAACTTTGATAGAATTGAAGATTTATCACTTTCATATTCCATGTACCTATTGAAATGTTTCTGTAATGCAGATTTTCTTACTATGGTTCTTACTACTTCTCGATTATCTCATAATATATACTGAGACTCTACACATCTTACCATGTGCTAAACAAGAGTAATTATCTTCTGAACAATTTACTATTATAATTGCTCTATGTATTTGAGACTGTCTTAATCCTAATCGTCTCTAAAATTTGGAAAATGTTTTAATTTTATACTTGAATGTTTCAATCATTTTTAAACATAATTTAAGTTCTATTCTAAATCTTCATTAAAAAAATTAAAACTTAGTTTTTAGTTCCGAAAACTTTAGTAAATATTGTACATTTATTATTTTCATATCCCATGTACTTAATTCAGTAATGCAGATTTTCTTAGAGATTTGAGACTGTACTTTGATCATAGCTCAATAAGGATAACTATGTAATAAAGTATAAATATGATCGAGTATACTCGAATTATTTAATTTTATTTGTCAATTTTGAAACAATAATAACTGTTACATCAATCATAGCAACGTTATCGCGTCTTTAGAAACCACAAGGCGTCCGTAACAACGTTCACAATATCCTTAGTAACTGGAAGGCATTCATAGATAACTGTTATAATCTTTGTAGAAAACATTCACATACTATACATATACATATATATAATAATAAAGTTTATTGCAACAGTCATACAAAAGTAAACACTAACAAAATAAATACTCATTAATAATAATAATCATTGCAATCAGGTTGCAATTTAATTGACTTATGTAAATATCAACTGTAAATTCCTATAAATAAACCACACACATTAATTGATGTAGGTAGCATTTTTACTAATTTAAAAGTGTAAAAATATTACAAAGTGAAAGCGCAATTAACAACTAAGATTATTACATGATAACAGTATTAAATTTTAGAGTTCCTACAAACTAAGAATATAAATATTTTTAAACAAAGTTGTGATATTATTTGGTATTGCTAATAGCAACACATACTAAAATAGTTTGCTTTAAATATGAATCTAATACTGTGTGAGAGATCTAAAGAAAACTAAGCAGTTGAAGGATTACGCTCCTGTAGTTGCGCCAAGGATAAGTACTAGGTATTTATGTTTCGGATTGAAACCGTCATGTTATCATATAAGTTGGTTTATTAAGAAGTACGAACTAATCTCCTCGTTGTTAACGTCATTTATTATCTCCACTACACAAGGCGGGATTTTGCGGCTTAGGAGATTTTAGCGATTATGTTTAGAGTCTGCGTGCTCTATTGAAGTAGTCAGTGTTAAATTTACAATGAAAATATTAGATTCACGATACTTTTGAGTAAGGTATTAACAAAAAGATTAGTAGAGTATGATTTCGATACAAGGACTTCTGGGTTATGAGCCCGGCAAAAAATAACTTTATTTACAAACATAATTATTGACCCTTTTACAATTTGCAAGGGCACAAACATTTATCTTATTACAAATCTCTCAACATAGTTGTTTTGGGTTTGCTTCTTACAGTTTTAACAATATTATGGAGATAATTGCCGAAGCAATTATACTTAAGACTTTAAACTATGGTTGTATATACAATTATTTCTATATTAGAGCGAAAAACGTGGGAAATTTTTTATCTAAAATGCATTAAAAATATATTAGACCTCTAGGGCCTTATCAATTGTGTTTGCAGGAGAGGAGTGATGGTGTTGTAGGGGGTGATAGAAAGTATTTACATGTGGAAAAGAGAGAGGTTTTGGTATTGGAGTTTATGTACAGAATCCTCATTCCATTGTCAAATGATGAGGGTTTACGGCCATTTTTGGGTTATAAGTGCAATAGTTCTATGATTTATGAGACATAATTCTGTTTGTTCTTCTATGGTTTTGTTCCCGCACTTTTTTGATATCCTCCTTGTACCCATCGAGTCCTCGTATCTCCTGCCAGAAGTCACTTATTTCACTTTCATTATCCTCATTTTAGTATCGTTCCCTTGATTCTATTGTATTCATCACTTGTCTCATTGTCAGGATCGATTGGGCCTCAGCTCGGGATTTATTCCTTACATCCCATATGTTGACTTTTGGAGATGGTGCTTCCACGAAACTCTGTTCCCACCACGCTTCCACTGCGCCACTCTGCTCTTGCTGAAAAAGGGCGCGCGCGTGTGTGTGTGTAATTTGTTGCATAATTGATGGGTTTGATTTGGTATTGATCTGGCGTGTTGGATTAATTAAATTTGTAAATTAAATTTTGGAGTCGCGAGTTGTTGCACAGTAGTTAGTTTATGGACGGCAATTTGATTTATGTTTTGGATGCGTCGGGTTGATTTGAAGTTTCGGAACCATTAATTACAAGTTTGCCGTTTTCAAAGCTCGCTTTACCCACTCTCCAAACAATAATGATTGTAAACTCGTCTCAGCAAATTGTTCCGATCAAACGTGCGGTCAATTATGTGCGGCCAATAATAAAATGGGTAATAATTAATTTTCGACTACTTTGGGGGTAGATTTTTTCTTTTCTCTCTCTCTCTCTCTTTTAGAGGGGGTGAGTGAACAGGGATGACGCGCATTATCTTAACGTTAAGTAATTGCGTCAGAGCATGTTAATGTGAATTATTAAATTGTAATCCGATCGTAATTTATGGTATGGAACGAAATTGGATCATGCACGGAATTGTGCGACAGTTTTTTTTTTTGTTTATTTCTATACTTACGCCGAATATATTCGGTGTTTACACAATATAATCGAACTACTACTGTCTAATGACTTATATGTGAGGGGGACACATGATTAATTTCGTTTCCGACTTGTCGTTAAAGTGTAGCTTTTCGATTTATTTTTAGTGGTCGCAACTTGTTGATAATATACACGAATCGATATTATTTCTTTCGCCATTCAATCAAACTCGTATTATTAGAAAGCCAATAACCGGTTTAAAAACGTTTCATATATTTATTCCGTTTGAAGTATTTTATCCTCGATATCACGAAACGAAGAAACCGTTAATTTTTAACGTGCTCAATCATAAGATCTAAATAATACATATATTGATTGCAGTGAAACAAGAATGTAAAGTGTCATAAAAC